CCATAAATAATAATAATGGCTCGAGTTTAGCTTTGCCACGAATATTCTTTCAACACTATATATAATGATAGCGCTGGAGTGAAAGTGGTAACCTATCCATTATTTCTAAGGTACAGTGAGTTCAATCGCACTGGTTGCTGTCATAGACCAGTAAATGACTTCTTATCTTGTCTGATTCATAGGTTTGTGGTCCAGCCCCATGGGAATGTCTATGGTCGGTCATTTTCAGCGCCTGGCAGATAACGGTGGGTTTAATCATTTCTTTAGGAGAGCAAATCAGAACATTGCTTTTTTTTTCATTTTTACCAATGAAAATCTTATTTTTGATCAGGGGACCATGTGCGTTTTACTAAGCACAAAAAATTGCTCCAGATGTATATTGACAGGAATCCCCGGTTCGTGGACTTGCTACCATTGATATTGTATGAAGTGAGTGCTTTAAATTTGTCCATTTCATTTTTCCTGTTCTTCTAAAGTTTTGGTCTTTATTATACATGATGATGACGCCAACTCGTTATCATCTGAGTTGTTTATTTCTTTTCAAATATGCACAACGAAAAGAACCATATTTCATCAGGATCACATGTACAGTATTCTGGGGGCTTCCTCTGTCATGATTTAGAATAAATGAAAACCTAAGAATGCGAAAGTAGTTGCTTGCATGTTCTCTGGGGGTACGAGAGGAAGAAGTGTGTTAAATTTTCAAACCTACTCTTCTCGGGGAAATTAACACAGTTAACTATTCCGAGGGGTCAGATAGTTCATTTTCTTATACCATTTTCCTCTAGGAAACCTTACTGGATTTGCATGAGAACAGACATGAGGACGCAAAGAAACACGCCAATCAGGCCTTGGAGACGTCCCAAAGATTTCATTCACCTAATCATTGCTACATCCTTTCCAAGCTCAAATATGTCGAGTCTGCCTTAGATCGTAGAAAAGGAGACTATGAAAGGGCTAGGGAGTGCCTGGATGTTTCTGTCGAGGTGAGGGTAATAGAGATACATTCATGTAGTCTAATCGACATCATTTTATAGACTTTTCCCCGAAGCAGTCTACCACGAACTTGAATCCCAAGCCGGCTTTTGAACTTATCAATATCTGGTTATTATAATGTCCAACTGACTTGCGTTTGATTATCAAAATGCCCAAACTTAATTTCAATCTTTGAATTCTAGCTTCTGTGGCCCTGTGCAGCAGGCGAGGAAACAGCAGAAAATAGATACTTCTATGCAGCATTTCTTGTAGAGAAATCAGCAAAAATCGGTATTACGGCTCAAGAAGAGACCTTGGCAGAGCAGTCTTTTCAAGATGTTCAAAATCATTTGATTGCCGATACAAGGCCTATCACCAATCGCTGTCAGATCAGATCAAAAAACAGGCAGCTCGCTTTCTACGTCAAATCTTCCAGGCATGTGAAACACCTTGACGTCCAGAGAGTAGTTCCTGAGCCACAAATGGCCAAAGCACAGCAACTGATCCGGGAGATAGAAACACATCACTTAGTGTACTACCAGAGTAAGCCGCGCATGAGTTTTGATATCGTCAAAACAGACTACTTCATCCGAAGGGGAAATTATGCTCAAGGTGAAAAGACTTTACATCTAACACGATGATTAGCTATTCCATAAATAATGGGAGGGAAAAATACCTTCAGTTGTAAAAAAAACTGCCTCGGGTGACATTTGAGTTAAATGTAGCAAGAGATGATTTTGCAAATACATATAAAAATCATTGACCAAAGAGGAGGTAAATAAATGTTCTGGTATACTGTACACCTCACGGAAACCAGAAACTTAGGTTATTTCGATGGATGTACCAAAGCTTGAAGGGTGAGTTGTTGAACTCTTCATGCACGATTTTGTCTCCTTAGCTGCTCGGCGGTGAATAGTACCAGTTAATCACCTCTGAACTAGTATTTGCGTATGTGGTATGTACAAATAATATCAAATACAACCTGGCTTATAACACTTGGTAATAAAGCTATTGAGTATACCAGATAAGGAAATAATGATTCAACGCAAGAGAAAATAATGGGACATTATATTCTTTTATTCAAAGGCAGCAACAAAATTAAACTTTTCAAATTTTCCAGAAAGGAACATTTACATTAAATTATTATTATCATTATTTTATTATTATTTTCATTTCAAAAGGAATAGAGCCTTCCGCAGAAGCCTTCCAGATTGCCGAAGAGAAAGCCTGGCACGAATACAAGGATGTGGCTCGTGAGAGACTTCACTTGTGCATTGGAAGGATGACGTGACTCGACTAGTGGGGAAAAAAACCACACAGAGAAAGAAAAGATGTTACAAGGAATGCAAAGTTATTATGGTTGGATTGGAATATTGGGATAATTTTAGAGAAGCCATGCTAACTTGTATGCTGGTACTTTTCCATATGGCTGAAAATGTAGAAACAGGAATGAGCCAAGCTTTCTCGTTCGTAAATTATTTTAAAGACTTCGTAAACGCTCTAGATCATAATTTATATTACTTTTTCGCCATGGTAGTAAGAATAATAATTGCAGGAATAATTATGTCATTATTGTCTGTATTGCTGTAAAAACTAGATCCCAATCCCCGCTATATCACCATTATTATTAATGTTATTATAAATATTATTATACCTTCAACTCACTATCTCTTTTCTGATCGGCCAGAAGCGTAAAGTTAATTTTCGAAATCAGCACCTGGCACGTCATCTAGCTGCAGATTATGCAATAATCATGTCAAGGACATTCAAGGTTGCAGGTAATCATGTCATGTACGACCGCAGTGCACGATTCCTTAGGGTAATCATGTCTAGTTCGCGCCCTACTTGTGGCTTGCTGATTTGTATATTTTTACACGTTTAAATATAAATTATCAGTTCCATTTACTATCGTGACCATTTTTTTCGTTCAATGTATACTAAAACAATTATTACATTCGGTTTTTTTGATATTCAGAATAATCCAGGTCTCGTTAAGGGTTACAAAAAGCTCATCGAATAATTGTTCACTATCAAGATAAAATATTTTGTCGTACCTGACAAGACGTCAAGTGCAAGCATTTGAAGATCCGTTGAAAGAGTTGCAAATCGGAAAGTCTACCCTCTCGTTCATTCTGTCCTTTCCAGTTTTGTTACTGCAGGGCTTTAGTTGAAAAGCTGAACAAACTACGCTTACAAGTTTTCGTGGCGCAAAACCTACGTTTACAGCAAA